AAAAATTTAGTAGCTGAGCATGGTGGTACATGCCTTTAATCCCAGCACTAAAGAGACAGAGGCAGGCAAATGAATCTCTGTGAGACCGAGGTCAGTCTGGTCTACATAGCACATAGTAAGTTCCAGGCCAGGGCTATATGGAGATCCCGATATATATATATAATTTTGTCTTTTGCTATGTTTATCACACACATTTTATATGTGATCAAGCTTACATTTTATTGTGGTGGGGCAGCTATTATCAATGGGGTGAACATTAACATACACAAAAATAAGTGCTAAATTCATCAAATATCTGACATGAAGAGAAATGAAGAAGTACAAGGCATCACTAATGGACACAGCATCACTGATGGATGCAGAATCACTGATGGACACAGTACCAAATGGGAAAGTCCTTTTATTATGAGCATGACATAAAACAAACGGTGAATTTCATGAACTCATGAAACTTAGTTTGTGCAGCAGATTCTCTGAAAGTTAAAGACAAGTGGGGAACTGAGGATTAAATTCGCAAAGTACATGGCAAAGTTACCATTTTAAAACATGAAGAGTTTCCCTTAATTACTGAAAACACTTTACAATGTACACATGCATTAAAACATGCTACCCATTAATAATCACAGTTGTTACAAATTAAAATCTATTTGATTAATAGTAAAGGATGTAAAAATTTGAAGGTTATTTATCCCAATGGGGCAAAAACTAAAATGAAGAAGCAATTTGCAAAAAGAAATGAAAATAGCAAATATATTAACTTTATATAGATCTCTAACTATACTCATAAGCAAAGAAATTCAAATTAGAGAACAACACAATGTTGAATCTAATTGTAAAGGACAAAGGATATATTTATAATACCCTGTAAAGTCAATGATGTGAGGTAACAAGCATTCTCGTACATCACCAATCTAGATGTAAAATGCTGCATTTTTTTTTTTTGGCAAAAAAGAAAGAATACTTACTGAAGTTTAAATTTGCATTTGTATTTCCTTTAGCACACATGTGTGTACACACCAACACTCATGCATCACAGTCAGGAGTTCAACCAATGGAAGCAATCTCAGATGGATGAAAACACAGATAAATATTAATTTTAGTATTATTAGCAACTGCAAAAGCAGAAAATAAATTGCATGAATGAGAATTTAGCTAAATAGATCAGAGTTAATATATAAAATGGAATGTAATTTTTAAAATTTTTTAACTTGTGGGTTGATTTAAAGAATCATATATGTATTGTGGAAAGAGAAAAGTAAATTGCAAAGCAATATGGT